CACATCCTTCTAGTTGCTGTACGTGGGACTCGGCCTCGCGTTGGACGGAGAAGTGGTGCCTTGGGGCGTGCCCGGGATCTGAACCCGGGCCGCCAGCATCAGAGCGCACACACCTAACCGCCAAGCCACGGAGCCTGCCCATAATCTTTAGTAGGTTTTAAGATTAACTTGCATTTCTAAACTACAGTGAACTTAAAAACAAAAGCAACCACCCCATCTCAATTAACTGGCGTCTTCAAGTTACAAATGCATAGCTTGGTAGGGTAAGGAATTACAACTGCGTTATTGTGTCTAGGCTGAGATGAAATTGTCATCTGTCTTTTATCAAACAGCCATAAATGGAAGTTTTAACCCAGAACTGGCTCTGCTCTTAGGTGTCCTGAAGGCTGTGGTGATGGGGAAGGGAATTCTCTCCTTGACTGACAGTGGGCAGCAGCAGACCCAGGGGAGGGTTACCCCTAACCCCTTTGTCACACAGGAAGTGGGACAGGGGGAGGAACGAAGAGATGGTGGTGATAGGAAAAGAAATAAGCCTTTCCTTTCTGAAGGGAATTCCTCCCAACTTTTTCCATGAAACTTCACGTTTCTATTAGTCCTATTAGCAAGGGGTGAAGGGGATGGGAAGGGGACGTCTCTTTCCTTTCTGCTGACATTTTCCTGCCAGGGACAGAGAAATACTCTCCATTTTAGACTGATAGGATTGCAGACGTGGATTAAAAAAGAGTCTTGATTCTGTAGGGCAGCCAAATGCTTAGGGACAGAAATAACAGAACCGTATGTTTTCTTCCAATATTGTTGGCCTTTGATCTCTGAGATGGCAGTGGAAAAATAGTCAACTGCCATTTCCCCAATTTAGCCCAACTCTACATGGGATCCCAGGGTGTATTTGCCTCCTCTCTGCAGGTGGTTCCTCCTCGTTGCCAGGGGAAACCTCAGCTGCCCTTTTCTCTAACCCAAGTCAAAGCAGGCAGTAGTTGTGATTCAGCTGATTTAAAGTTCCCACTCCAACCCTTTTCACATTTATCTTCACAAGCCACATTAAGTTCTCAAATACTCATAAAGGTTATTGGGGTTTTTAGCAGTTACAACATTTGATGTCACCTGAATATCACAGACCCTGTGTTAATACCCAACTCTGACTGTGCATGATCATCATCCGGGGTATGGATTAATAATGAGGATTGGTGGCTGCACCACAGAAATACAGGATCCTTTTTTTTTTTTTTGGTAGAGCTCAAGGATTTACAGTTTTAATAAGTGCTCCAGATGATTCTTATTCACATTCATATTTGAGATCCTTGCCTCTAACAGATTCAGAAGTGCCTCTTTTTAATTATTAAATATAATATGCACATGAACTTCATTTAGCACAGTTATGGATCTGGGCAACATTTCTTGAGCACTTATTATCTATTGGGCATCCTTCTACGAACTCCACAAGGATATCTCACTTAATAGACATAATGAAAATATTTCTGAAAAGTTATATGTGATTCAAACTTCTGTATGCTGAATCATATTTTAAATTCACAAGGAAATATCCATGTAAACGAGCTCCATGGTAAATTCTTTGATAAAGAGAATCATTAACCCGTAATTTATCTTATTCAAATTGAGTTGTTTTATACGATAAGATTTCTTATGGTGAAGCATAGCTACACTTGAAGCCAATGTGCTTATTTATGGTTGAAAAATATAGTTTATATCTACATAAGAAGAATTTAGAATAATGCAAGAAAGTTAGCATACTATCTAGCCAAGGATGATGTTCAAATTTGTGGACTTTAGTAATCTAGGCTAAGCTCTATGTGGTCATAAAGGTTACTGGGGTTTGCAGCAGTCATGGAATTTGATGTCATAGATCCTTGTTCCCACAATCTGCTTACCTATCAGCCTATGCGCCAGAAGCCAGTTGGGTGGAGGTATGAAAGCAACTAAATAATGTGTGAAGCAGACTTTCCTCACCCTGATTCTATCCCTACACCCCATCCTAATTGGAGGAGACTTTTACTTCTTATTTTTTTAATATTTAAGTTTTGAAGTTTTCATGTGTATATATTATTTTATAATTACAAATATTTTTTAAAAATTTCTTGGAACTAGATTAACCTTTGAGGGGATGTGAGTCTTGTTGCCTCATCTTATCTCATATAGAAAGTTTTAAATATATTTTAAGTATATTACTGAGTATATGTAGATAACCTAACTTATTTTATGATTTTCTAATCAGTTTGGAGCTGAGAAAAAGGGACTGTATTCTGTATCCTGACTCAGACATTTCTATTGATGCCATCCAGGACCTTCTCCAATAAATAATATGTATTCTGTCAATTAAGGGTAGCCTAGGTGGGAGGCCTGTCAAAAGCAGGGATGTCCATTCTCTCATTTTTTCTAATGTCCAACAAAGTAATTAAGTAACAATAATTATTACTGATAGTAATTTACTGTGAGGCAAACTTATGGGGAAATCATAGAATTTGTGATTCAGGCTATTCCCAATGTAAGTGAATCTGAGGACAGGAGCAGATACTGCACTAAGAATAACTGATGGCCTTTCCTGAAATGGTCAAATACATCAGCTCTGACATCTGGTTTTACGTAGTCTGACTTCCAGATGGAATTTAATGCTGGATAACTGGGGAATGCAAAGGAGGACAGAAAGAAAGAAATTCAAGAAAGGAGGACATTGATGGTAATCTAATTTTAGTAGAAGCTGTGCACATGCATTGTTTATTTTTACTTTCAGATCACGGATAAGCATAGCTCAACTATTAGCTCAGTCCCATGCCTTTCTTCCTACTGCTTTTTTACTATTTTTTGCAGGGGAGAGGTAAGGTAGGTACAGGGAGAGAACTGTGGATCCTGTGACTTTTTTCTCTGTTCACTTATAGTTTCAGCAAAAAAGGTGAGTGGGCCAATCAGCTCATGATTCTTAGAAGAGATACGTAGGTACTCGGTGGGAGAGGAGTTTGCTGTTATGGACTAGAAAGGGTTTTGAATTATTTATGGATTTCACTTTTTGTGATATTTTTAATCCCTCATGACACTGAAAATTGAAGGCTAACTGGAAAAGAATAAGTTTCCAGAACAGCCATCATTATTGTGTCTGTGTCCTCCTGTATAAACAGGGCTATCCTTTGGGCTAAATTGACTGGTCATAGAGATCAAACAAGAGAAGAATTCTTTCCCTGAATCAACTAATCAAGTCAGCCAATATGGTTGATTTGGAGCGTACATATCACCTCCAGCTATTAAAAAATAAAATTGAGAACTGTTTTTTCTTCTTTCAAAAAGGAAAGTAATATAAAATCCTCGCTTAGAGAAATACATTAGTAGTTATTCGAAAAAGACAGTTATAGGCGTAGAATAGAGTGAGAACCCAGGGTGGAGGGAGAGATACAGAACAGGGGGTATCTTTTTTAACTCACTCTGAGCCTTGAATGAGTAATTCGTATCTTAAAAAAGCATGAAGCCAAAGAGTGTTTAACTTGAAATCTGTTTCCTTACCCACAGGACAGAACTCCATTTTTTTCAAAGGTAAAACATTGCTTGCCCTGACACAAGGACCTGAGATGATGTTTCTGACATTTCATAGAAAAGCAGTGTTAACTCCAGTTAAAGAACACTAGTTTCTTACTCTGACTTTCAGTCTCATTTATCTGAACAGATGGGCTCCTGTTCTTAAAGATGAGAACCTGTATTACACTTTCCATTCAGGTTGGTTGGAAATTTTCAAGGCCTTCTTCCTCTCTTCCCCTATACCCCTCCTCACGGCCATCCTTAACTTCACTTTTTCTTGTTTGAGACCTGTCCCTGAGCCGTAGTCACTAAAAAGCCTTCTTGATTGAAATTTCCCCTCCATTTACAGGTACTGAAGATGAGCTTCCATTGAAATGGTGAGAAGCAAAGTTTTGTTTTTGTTTCTAACTTTTCCACTGCAGGTGACCCCAGAGGAGTTTATGAACTACTACGCAGGGGTGAGCGCATCCATTGACACCGATGTGTATTTCATCGTCATGATGAGAACCGCCTGGAAGCTCTAAATGTATGACCTTGGGACCAGGGCCTTGAGTACAGCCACATGGCTCCAAATGGTTAAACATCAGCTCAAAACCAGGATCGTATCTGAGTTCACGTTCATCCCAGTGTTTGTTTCACGTCAAAACAGGTTGTATTTTCTATGGCAGAAATAGACACAACTAAGTAGCGAATTGTAACTTAACTTTGCTGAGGCCCGTTTCCTTAGCTATAAAATAGGCATAATCAAAATAGGATCTGTAAAGCTCCTAGAACCAGGCTGACATATACAGGTGTCTAATAGACATTAGGTGTCTTCCTTGGCCATTAATAAAAGTTTGAATATTTTAATTATAATCCTCACCCATGTACCCATTCTTTCTCCACCTTCCTTTAGAGGGTCCATTTCTGTTTGGGAGAATTCATCTGTTTTTATCTCTGACTATAAATCTTTAAGTGCTTCAGTCCCAATTTGGGGACCAGAAGGAGACTACCTGCTAGCCAGTTTCCATGACTGAGTCTTGAGTTTCTCTGACTATGATTTAGGGAAACCTCAGTTTGACAAATAGATTTAAAATGGCATTTTGGGGGTCATTTTAAAGGCTGGTGTGAGAGGCCGGCCTGGTGGCCTAGTGGTTAAGTGCACGTGCTCGGCTTCTGCGGCCCGGGGTTCGCAGGTTTGGATCCCACCCGTGCACCGATGCATCGCTTATTAAGCCATGCTGTGGCAGCATCCCATATAAGGTAGAGGAAGATGGGCACAGATGTTAGCCCGGAGCCAATCTTCCTCAGCAAAAAGAGGAGGATTGGCATCGGATCTTAGCTCAGGGCTGGTCTTCCTCACAAAAAATAAATAACAAATAAAAGTAAAGGCTGGTGTGAGACTGGAAGCCATCTCCTTGAGCAACAGAGCCAGGATCATTCCTGTGATTCAGGTTTGAGGGTAGGCTGTGCCCTCAGATTTCATTTGGGACCTCTTGCCCTGTGAGTGGGCAGACCAAATCAGTAAGCCTTTGCCTGGTGAAATGTTCATCTCTCCCCTCCCAGCCGTTGGCCACCATGTTGAGGTTCCCACCAGCAGAAGAAAGTCAGGTGTGACATAGCCCAGGATCACAGGCATACTCCAAAGGAGATTTTCCATCTTGACACTTCATGGCTGAAAGTGTTCTCCTCTCATCTCTAAGCTTTAGTTTCATATTGTTGATGTGCAAATCTCCCCCAGAAAGACTTCTCAGTAAAGACAGCCCCAGCTACTGGAAAATAGATGTTGAAACTACCATGCTCTCTTTGTGTGTTCTGTGTCTGGGCTAGAGATAAAAACACAGTGACTTGCCCTCTGGCTATGGTGCTGTAGGTAAAGACCATTCTGCCTCATCACTCAGGGGCAGTCATTTTTGTCACCTCTGTCCCTGGCTGGACTCACTCTCTGGTTTGGGGACATGGACTGGGGTAATGGTCCCTTTTAAGATCTTATATATTTAAGTGGCTCTGGATTTAGGGTTGGAACACACTTGCCATATTTTTTACCAATTCACTGTTTGCTTTTTATTTCACAGACTTGGAAGTTGAGACTAGGATATACATTGATTTAAGAATTGTGAAAAGTGTTTTGAGATGAGAACTATCGCAGTCATTAAACAGGATGCCTTGCATTGTTTGTTGTTGAGAAGCTGATCTCACTACTCTCATGGTGGGCTGGAAAAGGGACCTTTTCCTTGAGGATGGGAGTATCCCCATATCATGAGACACTAGCTTTTTTGGAAATTAATTATGCAAATCTAGTTTTACACTGGCTTTATTATCTAGGCTTATATAGAAGTTGGCAGGCCAAAAGATGCCAAGTGTTGTGAAGAAATATGTAGAAATGACATAGAAGCCAGGAGAAATTATGAAGAAATGTATAGAAAAAGTATCCATGTTTTCTGCAGCTTGCACCTTGAAGATTGTGGCTAAGGAGAGGTCCCGGTTTCTTGGGGATGGTGGGTTTCAAGCCAACTGCTCTAGATAAACTTGTCTCTTTGATTCTGGGAATAAATGACTCATGTGTCTGCTTAAACTGGGGCCATAGAGTTAGCATGTGATTCTGAACAAGGACTGGGTTGCAGCTATCAGCTTTGTCTTCCCCAGTTGTACTTTGCTTCCTGTCTAATTGGGGCACAGCTATCAGATTTCAGATAACCTGTGCCTCACAGTGTATTTGGTCACATTCAGTTACCTCCTTTCTGGCAGGTTAAGTTCTGGGCCACAAGAGAGGATTCCACCAAGGCCCTCTCGCCCTCCAAAAACAAGATCTCCTAATAACCTGATGGTCAAGAGTCACTCTTCTTGTATTCTGAGTCTTATCTGTGATTTCTGTCCTACTCTGGATTTACTCATAATTAGCTCTACTCCTTCTAGTAGCCATGGAAGGAACAGTGAAGAGTCGTTAATAAAAATCATTTACTTATACCGTTCTGGATATATGTTCTGTTTATTTAACTTTCACAATTTAAACATTACTCCATTTGAAACTTAAAAAATAAGCCCTTGGATCAGAAGATAAAACACAATAAAAAGTCTCTAAAATAACCCTTGGGAGCCCCTTACCTGTTGGGTCTGGACCTCAGATAGGTGGTAAACAAGCCAAAGAAGAGAGGATAAGATTAGTATCTTTTTATGAAACAGGAACAATGTGTGTAAAATTCTGAGAATCAAGACTGATCAGAACAAGCCTCTAATATCAGTACTAAATCTGGATTCTAATTCCCCCAGACGCAAACCTGGGCAAGAACAGAAGAGACCCTGACTCAGCGGCTATCAAGAGCTGGTTCACATCCCGTCTGAATTCCATTCAGGGTGCAAATGAGAAATCCAAGATGAGAGTTGAATCATAGACTGAGGCAGAATTCTTCCAGCCAGTCTTGGGGCTGATTTTCACAGACATTCAGACTTTAACAGGATTTCTTCTCGGACCCAGATGGCACTCTGGAGGACCATATATGGCTTTTTGTGGTTTGGTGGCAGGCATGAAGTCAGGTTTCACACCCTAACAACAGCATCTAAGGCAGAGTTGGTCCCCCTCCAAGTAGGCTGTAGATTGACTTTGCACATATCATGGTTTTAGTCTGAAAATACATCCTATCATTAAATATTTATTGAGCCGCTGCTGTGTGCCATGTTCTATTCTAGGCTGGGGAGGTAGAGCAGTGAGCTAGAATAAATGCAACCTAAACCACTGGCTTTCAAACCAAACAGTCCACAGGCATTAAGAGATCAGAGAGGAGGGAAGACATGGGCACTGACCTCCCCTCTCTGAGTCTCACCCAGCTTCTGAAGCCAGGACCGTTGGGGCCCTTCCTATGGCAGTGTGTTAGGGAACTATGTAGTAAATCTGACGAATGTAGACAACCTATCAAGACAGCGCAAGGAAAATCCTCTTCCACTGTTGGAGGCAGATCATTGTTTCAGCCCTTCACTTCTCTTGGCCAGTGTGAATTGCCTCAGTGAGAGTACAAATAGGTAATGATTCAACCCTCATCAAGGAATCTTGATGCAATTTGTTCTGCTGATGTTTAATCAAGTGGAGATGAAATTAACCAAATGTATTCTTGGATGGTGTGCAGGTGCCCTTCTACCCCTCCTTCATGAAATTCTACTAACACCCTCTGTGTAGTATACTGTTTTGGATTTATGCATATCTCTTTGGGGCGTAGAATGAAAAACCTCACGACTTCCAATTGTCCAGATTAGTCAACCAACTTGCTTTCCTAGAAGTTATAAACTGTTCTTTTAAATTAAGAGCTTGATAAATGAAGCAGTAAGGTTTTAAATTTTAAAAATGCTTATGATTCAAGGAAAAACAAAGGTGCCAAGGGTCTGATAGATTGCCATATAATGTCATTTTCATGTAATTTACCCTTTTGAAAGCCAATGTTTCTAAGCATGGTTTTATTCCTCCAAGTTGCTCATATGAAAACTATATAACCTTGATAGAGATAGCTAGCACTTTTATTGTAATAAAAAAAACCCCACTAAGTTAATCCCCTAAAATTGTGTGGTCTAAAACAGACGACAGGTGAAATCTGTTGAAAGAAACATAAACAAATGATTGATGGGGGTTCTGAGAACACTGCTGTGTGAGAAGAATTCTGTCTGCCATCTCAGTTGGTGCGGTGAGAGGCTGTGGTAAGACAGCTCTTCCTCTCTGAGAATAGCATGACCTTCTTGTTTCATTCTCTCACCTGCTTTGCCAAAGCCAGTATTTTCCCTCAGCCAGATAGAGCGAAGGTGCTCTTCAGGAGAGAAACCTACTGAAAATATGAGCAACCAACTCATAGCTGAGTGTTGATGATGGACCATGCAACTACCAGAAAGGTATATTGCAGCAGGGAAAGAAAATCTCAAAATATAATGGCCTATTTTCTTGTGCTCTAGATTCTTCTCCCTATGCTTCATAAGTGGAATTTATTTATTTATTATTTCTCTGAAGTACTGTAAAAATCCTAACAGCCATTGAACACTGTTGATAGAATTTCTGTTTCACCAAAGTTCTTGTGAGCACCATGGGTTCCCGGCTCCCACTCTCGCTCCCAACACTGGACCTCTGGCAAGCAGCCCAGATGTGCAAAGGGTCACACTCAGCTGTATATAACTCTGCCCAGACAATTGTCATTCTTCTCCAATTTCATTCTGCTCTAGACTCGGTAATAAATTTATGAGGGACCCTGTGACTCAGAGCACAAGCACCTGAAATTTGGCACCACATCTGAGTATGTAGTTTGTAATCCTGCCATCAAAGACTTGAGTAACTTTCTCTTGACTGACCTTAACACTTGGCACTCAGAGACTGGTGTTGATTCTGAGACCATCTTGATCTCAACCTTGAAAGGTCTGAGTTGCGGGTCTCCTAGAAACACTCAGGCCACATGTGGAGCTGATGATAATCAGTGCCCCCAGAGAGCCTTGGAGCAGAACGTGGACCTGCAATTGAGAGAAAATGACAGGTGGCAGAGTGGCTTGCTCCTTCCAGTGTTATCGTGAGCCTCAGAGTGCTTCCACTTTGATGGGATAAAGTGCTACACAGACGCAGGCGTTACCTTAGGAAACCCAGATCATTCCTTTCATTTCCAAGCAACTGGGAAATAAAATACTGTTCCCCAAGTTTCATACTCAGTCATACTAAAATCTCATTTAACAATATCATTCAACTTCCAGTTATTTAAGATTATCTTTTAAGCTGCAAAGTGAGTATAGTAAGTCACCATTAATTCAGGCGCCACAAATTGAGCTCATTTAGATAGGATTTGAGTAAAAATTTACTTTAGTTTCATCTATACTAAAAAAAAACACAAAAAACAGGGTTGCTAAGCAAGGCGGTAATGTAAAGAAGACCATAAGGGCTGTGCCTGCCTATATTCATATCAGATACTTGAAGATATCTATTGGCATATAAATGTAATTAGTATGCTAGTCATAAAAAGTTCCCACATATCTTTTAAAACAGTCCCAGGCCAATTGTTATTTGACAATACTTTATTTGCATAAGTGTAACTCAAGCTATTTTCTAGCTAGTGAGGTGTTCCTACATGTAAATCCTATCTTGATAGTATTTTTTAATAGAAACTGAAGTTCAAAAATAGTGTTTTATAAAGCAGAATTTCCATGATTTTTGTGGTATAAATTTAAAAATATTTTGTTTAAAAAGCTATACATACTTCTAAGGGCGAGTTTTGTATGCATTGAAAGCAAGCCCTTGGCTTAAAGGCAATAGTATCATTTCACGGAATGAGAAATTGAGAAGTTATGGAGCTACAAAGTTAGATATGGTTTAATTTATAATACTAACCCTGTCATGTTATCACATTATCAGGTGGCGCCTTGCCGTTAATGTGGTTCAGATTTAATAGAATTTCTTCAATTTAAAGCTTGAAACATTAGCTACTCTTGTAATAAAAGAGTTCATCTATCTAGCTTTTGTACTTCAGTTTTAAAGTGTTTCCAAAATATATTTCTTCTTATTAGCTAACACATTACACAGCATGCTTCTTTAAAAGTTTACTTCCTCGATGGTGCTTTTGGATCATTTAAAAATGTTACTTGTGTGATGTTTCAGTTACAGGTGATGAAATTTCTTCCTTGAAAATGATAGGGCACTGTTCAAGTTGTACTCTCTTGTGCTTTTAAAAGAACAAAATGTAATTATACATAAAACCATTATTTTGACAGCCGAGAATGAGAGTTCAAAAATTTGGTGTTAATATTCCTTTTCCTGTAGGATTGGACTACTGCCATCTAGCTGGCCAAGCAAGCTCCCAGAATGTCCAGCCTCTGAGTGGTGCTTCCAGGACTGTGGGGAATAGTGTTACTCTATGGGCTGATATTAAGGCACAGGGAAGGTTAAGCAGGAGGAGAGAGACGGAACCTAGGGGCTGATTCCTGCTCATTGTATCTTTGCTCTTAACTTCATTGCCCATTACAGGAAGCACAAGGCCCACTATGAAACACCAACATGTTTCCTGGCCAAACTGAGAAGCAGGGAGTATTTACCCTCTAGCATCTCCCGTATGGTTAGTCCCCTGCACCCTGCTATTGAATACCAGGCATCATGTACTCCTGGGTGCCCAAGGATCCTGGGAAGTACTCCATTCTCTACTTCTATCCTTAGCTATGTGTTCGGTCTAGACTGCCTTGCCCTGAAGAGTGTTTTATCTGTCCATTTATGCTCTAAACTTCTCACTCTAAAGTATTAATAATAACCCGAAGTATGATCATACAAAGTATGCTCTAGAGCAGCACTGTCCCATAGAACTTTCTGTGATGATGGAAATGCTCTACATCTGTGCCCTCCAAGATGTCAGCACTAGCCACATATGGCTATTGAGTGGTTGACATATGGATAGTGTGACTGAAGAACTAAGTTTTTCATTATATTTAATTGTAATTAATTTAAATTTAAAAAGCCACTTGTAACTAGTGGCTACTCTATTGGATAGTGCAACTCTAGAGATTTTAATCTTAATGCAAAAAGTAATGGCCGTGAGGGAACTGTAGCTGGCCAGTGGGCAGGCCGGTCTTTGGCGGCGCCTGCAAATACCTCACCTTAGAAAGCCTCCTCAGAGGGGAAAGGCAAGCCAGGCTCCCCTGACTCACTTGACCCAGCTTAACTGCCAGTGGTAAATCCAACTCAACAGAAAATATTTCAGGGAAAACGTAAAGTGCTATATTATGATTCACATATTTTGACACCATTTCCTTCTTTTTCTCTTACCTTTTATCCCCCTCAGGTTTCAAAAGAAGACTTTTTGAACTATTATGCTGGTGTTAGTGCTTCTATTGACACCGATGCCTATTTCATTTTAATGATGACAAAATCCTGGAGATTATGACTTTTGTCTGTTAGTTCTTTGGAAATCAGGGACTTGCAGAGAGTGGAATGAGTTTCAAAGAAGTCCAGTGCTATAGATTTTGATAATGTGTAAACTAAAGTTTCTAAAAGATCTGGAATTTTACAAGCAATAGATCTTTAGTCATCTTACTTAATCACTTGGAACATGTTCATTTCCTTAAATGCCTGAGGATATGTTTTTAAATTAGAAAGAAAGGAAGGAAGGAAAGAAGGAAGAAGAGAAGAAAGAAAACCGTGACGCGAGACCGGGAAGTGGTTCTTGGGTGAAATAATGCACTTCTTGTTATAGCCGTTCCTCTGATAGGTGTAAATGCAGCGGTTTTCCCACACTTTCACTTTATTTACTGGCTTAGGAGTCTGCAGCAGGAGGTCGTAATAAAAGGATTAGAGAAACATCTAGCTGTAAAATTTTCTGAGCTTACTTATTTTAATGTTTTTCTTGGTGAATACTTTACAAATAAAATTTATTTTACTCTGAAATTTAATGACTTTTTTTTGTTGTTGCTATTTTCATATTTCAATCCAGGGATTTAAACTCAGCAAATTCCCATACTTGCATGAACAAACGGCATAAGTGACTCTGGTGACAAAAGGAAGTTGAGCTCCATTGGCCCACTTGGTGGAAGGCTGGGCTTTCCTGGAGTGGGTTCAGTGACTGGGTCAGCCTATTAGGATGAAAGAGGGAAAAGGAAATACGTTAGAGTACACTGGGAAGGAGAACTTTCAAAACTGTTCTTGGGAATTCATCTTTTGAGCTCATTTCTAGGCTCCTCCCAAAGGCAGGTGATGTCAGGTTTTCTGACCCATTTCTCTTCTTCTAATAATTGCTTCTCAGGTAACAAAAATGGCTGTAGGTTGATTACACATGTACCCACAGGCCCTTCATCTTGGGAAAAAAAGGTAGAAGTGAGGGTGGGAGAGGAGATGGAAGGCTAAAGCTGTGAGTCTCAAATTTTAATGAGCACACAGGTCACCTGGGGATCTTGTTATAGTGCGAATTCTGATTCAGAAGGCTGGGTGAGGATTGAACTTGAGCCATTCTAACAAGCTTCCCCATGATGTTGATGCCTCTGGTCTTCAAGTAACACTGTGAGTAGTGAGGGGTAAAGAGATACCAGTTTGTTTATTTCCAGTGCATTTGGTTTCTTATTTGCCCACCGTTGGTTCCCATAATAATTTATGATTTTTGACTGCTGGGCCATCCTCTCCTTATCTTTAAAGTCATCAAAGTATGAAGGAAGTAGCAAAGAAAGCATATTGGCCTACCAGGCGTAGGTAGGAGAGAAATAGCACTTCCAAGAGGCTTTGTGCAGTGGCATTCCAATTGGAGAGTTTCCAATAGTCCAGGACTGAGTCCTGCAGTCTTCCAGCCTCAAAGATCTGAATGTGTCAGCTCTCCAAGAGAAGGTCCATCTCTTAAGAGAGAACTACATTGAGCCAGCTCACAGCAACTGATGCTAAAACTGGATTGCCATGCCATTAATCTACTATGGAGAATTCAATTCTCATTTTTGCTGGGTCCAGATCAGAGAATCTCATCTGAGTTTGAGGATATAAGAGAATGACAGCTTAGCTCTCAGTTCAGGGTTACTTTGAGCAGTTTATTCTCAGATACTACTAAGCAGTGCAGAGGATATACACATGGCATGTTAGGGTAACGCTAGCTGCAGTAACAAATAAACACTCAAATTTATAAAAGCTCAAACACATTTTTCACTCATGAAACAGTATTATGTATCAGCTGTTCTTGGTCAATGAACAGCTTTCCTCCATGTAGGGATTCTGGGTTACAGGTTTTCTCCATTTTGTGGTTCTGCTGTTCTCTAAGGCTTCACAGTCAATGATATCCATGTGGCTGAAGGGGAAGAGTGTGTAGAGAGGGCTGAAGAACTTTATGAAAATCTTTGGCCTGGAAGTGACACTCACCACTTCTGCTTGCATCCCATTTGATGATAACTAGTCACATGATTACACCTAAATGCAAGGGAGGCTGGGAAATGCAGTCCTGGGCAGGAAATCTTCTTGTCAGTGAAAATCTATCTAATGGCAGGAGAGTGCACATTTTGTTGGACGACTAGCTGTTTTTGCCACTTAAAATAGCAGTCCTCATTGCCTTCCACTTTCTTTGTGTGTTTTGGTGAGGAAGATTAGGCTTGAGCTAACATCTGTTGCCAATCCTCCCCTTTTTGCTGAGGAAGATTGGCCCTGGGCTAACATCCGTGCTCATCTTCCTCTGCTTTATATGTGGGACGCCTGCCACAGCATGGCTTGACAAGCAGTGCGTAGGTCCATGCCTGGGATCTGAACTTGTGAACCCTGGGCTGCCGTAGTGGAGCACGTGAACTTAACCACTATGCCACTGGGTGGGCCCCATTTTCTTACAGAGGCACACTTGTGGTCTTGGTAGCCCACATGGAGTGAGATATTTGCCAGGTTGGAGGAGTGTAGAACTAAAGTCTCTCTATCCTTAGCCATGTTAGCAACCAAGAAAACAACTTTTGTAACCACATAAGGTAATAATTCTCTAATCAGTAAGTCCCGTAATTTGGGCCTCATGATGCTATTCCAGGCCTTGAAATTCATGTTGCCACAACACCAAGGCAACTCATCTTTTATCCACCTCTATGATACAGGTCCTAGGAATTTTCCATCTATGTCTCCATAGGGGTTTTCTATGAAGAGTTGTAGCTGTGTCCTACCACACATACTGGAACCAAGTTTTTCATGTTGGTAAATGAGAAAGTTTTTGCCATAGAGGCAGATCTCTTGTTGGAAACATAATTATAATTATGAAATTATTTGGTCATTGGAATTGGAACAAAGGGCATGAAGATTAGAATATTTAATGAAATTAGGCTGACAGTTTATTACATTCAACTTGCCAGTAAGACCACAATATTCTTTTCCTAATTGTCCCTGGAGGGGACTAACGGAGATGTCCTCTCTCACCTCTCTCTTTCTCAATGCTTCATAGCTGACTAACTACCCACAGGAAGAACACACTCTTCACTTTAGATTAATTAACAAATCAGACGTGTCAATAAATCTGGCCTACCCTGCCTGCCTGGGGTCATGTTGGTCTCTTTCGGGTACTTTTTTATACCTCTGTTCTAATTCATTGTGTATAAAATACCATGGTAATTTTCATGTTGCTCTGAGGGCTATCTTATTTCCGTGTTGTTTGGAGTGTACTTTACTGTAACTCCAGTGAACTGACCACAGAAATCAGATATTTTCTTGTTTCATGTTAGAGGGAAAAATTAAATCAGAGAGAATGATCTTATTCTACGAGATAATTCATCAGAATAACTAATGAACATGGTTTAATAAATCCTGGGAAGGAGATTTAAGGGTTTGCAAATATTGTAAACTGAAAATTAAAGTTGAGTATTATTACAGATGGAAACTGTAAGGAAAAAATTTAGAATCAAGTAGAGTTAAAAATAAAGACACCGTTAAGATACTTGATCTAACACATGATGTCAGCTACCAAAAAATGTGTGTGGGGGGGATTTTACTTTCTTTGGTTGCAAGAGCCCAGTTGGTAGACATTTGCACATGTTGCTCACTTTCACTTGAAAATCAGCGCATCCAAAATAAAATTCACTATTCCTTTCCCTGTCCTCCATTATCCCCACCCCATCTTCTACTTACATCAAGTGTGCTTCTAGGCTGTAGTATCTCAGCACTAGGCCTCCAACTGCCTGGGCTAGGAACTCAAGGATCTTTGTTTCCTCTTTCCAAGAGGCAGAGTAACAATGGTTGAGTGCAGATGCCAGGGCCAGCCTGCCTGGTTTAAAATCTGATTCTATGTGGCTTACTAGCAGTATGATCTTGGGCAAATTACTTGACCTCTCAAACCTCAGTTTCTTCACCTGTTAAGTGGAGATAATAGTGACTACATTATAGGGGGAGGATTAAATGAGTTAATATATGGAAAACACTTGGAACTTTACCTGGCACTAATTAAGCTCTGTAGAAGTGTTTGACACCACTTTCTAGAGTCTGCTGGTTATATTTTTGAGTGCCCTTCTCTCCTTTCCAACTGTACAGGTTCAGTTCCTCTTACCTCAAATCTAGAAACAGTCCCCAGATAGTTTCTCTGCCTACCGTCTTAGCCTTTTCATCCATCTTTCACATTAATACCAGAATGATTTTTCCTAAGACTCAGGTTCATCCACATCGCTTCATTTCTTAAAGACATTCAGTAACCCCCTAACCCCAATTTAAGAGTTCAGACATCTTGGCATGGCATTTAAGGCATCCACAATTTTCCCTGACCTACGTATTTCCAGATACCTCTCCCATCACATCCTCCACATTTTCCACGCTTCAGTTATACTGGTGTGGTATAGTAAAGAATTTGTCTTGTCTTTGTCCTGAGTTCCCGACACAGAGCTTCTAAAACTCTTGGAATTTCCTGAGTGATAAGAGTGTCCTTGTTGTGCTAATGAGATGATGCAGAGTGAGCGCCTAGTCAGTTTCAGGATGGGGGCCTGTCACCAGAAATACTGACTTCATGATTAGAGAGTTGGAACTTTGTGCCAGCTGGACGTTAGAAGAGGGGAGGGGTGCTGGACACTGAGTTCAGTTACATGGGCAATGATTTAATTAAGCATACCCACATAATGAACCCCGCTAAAAACTCTGAACACTGAACCTCAGTGGCACTTCCTGGTTGGTGAATACACTGATGTTCTGGGAGGGTGATACACCCTGATTCCAGGAGAAGAGAAGAGAGCACTCTACATTTCCTCTCACACTTTGCCCTATATGTCTCTTTATCTGGCTGGTCCTTCTGATTTGTATCCTTGATAATAAAACTATAATTCTAAGTATAGTGCTTTCCTGAGTTCTGTGAGTCATTCTAGAGAATTACTGAAACTGAGGGGGCCAAGGAAACTGCATTTCTAACCAACTGGCTATAAATTCGAGACTGCAGTTTAGAAACCCTGCCTGAGTTTCTAGCCTGCCTGGCCTGCCCTGCAGAATTCAGACTCAAGACTGTAACATCAACGCTTACCTGATGCCAGCCTGCCAGCTTGCTCTACAGATTTCAGACTTACCAGCCCTCACAACCATGTGAACCAATTTCTCACTAGAAATCTCTCTCTCTCTCAACACACACATACACACATGCACACACACATGCAAACACACACTATTGGTTTTGTTTCTCTGGAGAACCCTGACTAATACAGAAGTACAAGTG